CTCTGAAGATGGCCACAATTGCCCTCAATGAGAAGATAAAAGCCCCCCACAGAGGCTTGGATTCCTTTTCACCTGGGGCAATTGCCCCTGTGCCCCCCCATGTTACACCACTGCATGGGAGAAAAGGATTAACCCACCCTTCCCCAGTCCTTCAGACTCTGGATGTTTTGGAGTACAACTCCCATCATCCTCGTACCAAGTGAGGCTGATTTTGCTACAAGAGAGACTGGTTCACCTCTCTCCCAGGGGTCCCCATTTTTCGTCCCGTTTGGCTCAGAGAAATGTGCATTTCTGTTAGGGATTGTTGCTGCTGACGTGGTGGTGGTGGTTGTTACTACCACATCACAGATGATAGTTTTTCTTTCTGTTTGCATTACAGTAGATGAAGGAAAACAGAAATAGAGCGACAGAGGTTTGCATACTAATAGATCTCATGACTTTGGTCCTTGTTTAAGCTCTTTCTTGTCTCTTTCTGCACAGCTTCTGATCTAGCACTTAATGGTCACCCAGCTGATTCATGGTTCCTGCTCTGCATATCAATGCTGGTTTTGTTTAGATTTCAGCAGCCAAGCTGTAGGCTGAAGCCATTTCGGAGGCTGCTTCTGTGATACTGAGGGTTTGTTCTCTCTCAGCCTGACTGAGAAAAAGGCAGGTGTCCTGTTTTGACCCTAGATGTATGTGCTTAGATAAGCCTGCCTTCTTGACCACGGATCATGGAGCATGATCAACAAAAATCCCCCAATTTTTCAGCCTGTCAGAATTCAGTGGCAAGAAGCAGCCCTAGTTAAGTCTTGAAACACAGGGTGTCCAGTTAAAAATTGCCCCCAAAGAGGAAATGCATCACCAAATAAAGAGGATGTATGCGCTTTACATGAGACATGCATGTGCTTAGTTATAAGTACAGCTGCACATTTAGGAACAAGCATTATAATTTAAAGAGGAATGCAATCCATCTGATCATTGAAGAGAAAAAACTTTGGCCAAATGATGGATGTCCATCATGCTCAGTCTACAGCTGTCCAACTTATGGTGACCCTAACAGGGCTTCCAAGGCATGGGAGATGTTCTGCCATTGCCAGCCCCCAGTGAGTTTCTATAGTGGAGCAGGGATGGGAATCAGGTCTCCTGCCTCCCATGAATTGCCCCTTAATGGTCCATTTAATTAGTCTCATCCTGTTCCTTGCTATTAGACAAGTGAGGAAGAGATAAGTGGGGAAATAGTCAAGGGCTCAGAGGAAAGCCTTGGACTCCAGCAGACAGAATCCTACAGGCTATTTATGCTTGCATAGGACACACTGGCAAATTGCTGATCATTCATATGGTGCTGGATGCCTGCCTGCACGGAAACTCAATCACATAATTGGGAACATTCCCAGGAAATCAACTAGCGCCTTATTGATGACCAGCGATTTGCCTCTTTGACTGTGGTCAATTTCATGTAATAGACTCATCGGTTGACAATAGTATTCTGGCCACTGTCTTTCCGATGACAGTATGATGGGATCCCACACCGGGTGTCTGGAATTGTTGAGGATGACAGGGAGGAATACTTTGACTCCAGATCCTTTTAAAAATCAACTTGGAGGAAGTGCTCCTGGTCAGTCAAAGCACAGATCAAAGAACAGAGATACAGCCTGTACTGGATGGAGTTGCCCTTTCTCTGAAAACCGAGGTGTGTAGCTTCGGGATGCTTCCTGGGTACCCAGGCGTTGGTGGTGGCCAGGATGCCTTTGCATAGTTAAAACCAGCATGCCAGCTGCACCTGTTCCTGGACAGGTCTGACCTGGTCACAGTGACATATGCCTGAGTTACATCCTGTCTGGATTACTGGAATATACTCAGAAACTTCAGTGGATCCCAAACGCTGCCACCAGATTGTTAGCTGGCGCTGGTTACAGGGATTTACCTAACCTCCCACAGCAGCTCCACTGGCTGCTGCTGATCTGGTTCTGGACAGAATTCAAAGTGGCACATCTAGGCAACCTGAAGCATGTGCTGAAGAATGATCTCCCTTGGGCTCTCAACGCTGGAAGGGAGGGCTTGGTGCTTTTTGAGCAAGGCTGCTCCTTTTGCAAGTTCAGACTTTTCCTTTTGCATACTTGCTTGTCTGCTCTTTGTCATCCCAGTGTTAGCCTAAATGCCAATGAACTCACGTGTTTGCACCTTTCTGCATCAACAGCCCAATAAGATGACAGCCCTCCACATTCTTGCCTTTCTGGATACTAAGGGAAGGAAAAGTCAGCTGAGTTGTGCCTCTGTAGTGCCGATGCAAGGAAGAATGGCCAGGAGGTCTAGTGTGGTTCGTAGCAATATTCCTCTCTGTGCCCAAGGCTTAAGATGCTGTAAAATGCCTAAGTGAGCTCTGAACTCTGACAAGACATTCGAGGTTACTTGGGGAAGCCTTCGAGTGCTGGAAGCTGACAGAAACCAGTCTTTATCTGTTCAAATGACCAAGTTATTTATGCCAGATGCTTTGGGGTGAGAAGTTTGGGAAGGTGTGCAAGATGGAATGCTTTAATCTCCAACTCTATCATCCTTTGATATCTGGTGTGGTTCTTCATTTGTTCCTAAGATGCTTTGCTATAATTTTGCCAGTTAGTGTAAAATGAATAAATGAGTGCACTGCTGAAAAAGGTATATAAGGGCCAGGGAGTTTGCCCATCGCTGTGGTGCAGCATAGACCACCCTCTGTAGAGGTCCTGCACAATAACTGACTCCTTCAGATTGCCACCACCACGATTTTTTAGTCTCTTGATGTAGAGGTCCTGCACAATAACTGACTCCTACAGATTGCCACCACCACCATTTTTCAGGGTCTCCTGGTGTGCAGAAAGAGTGTGAGGTTCCTTTATTCTTTTTCTGCTCATGGAGTTCGCTTTGCAGTCACTTTTCTCTTTAATAAAGTTTTGTGCCCTTTCTTCCATGGATGTGTTCATTGTCACTGAACTCTGAAACAGCCCTTGTTGGGCACAATAACTGACTCCTACAGATTGCCACCACCACCATTTTTCAGGGTCTCCTGGTGTGCAGAAAGAGTGTGAGGTTCCTTTATTCTTTTTCTGCTCATGGAGTTCGCTATGCAGTCACTTTTCTCTTTAATAAAGTTTTGTGCCCTTTCTTCCATTGATGTGTTCATTGTCACTTGACTCTGAAACAGCACTTGTTGCCCTTGGCAAGCCAGCCTCCCATCATTTTCTTATCTGTTGCTTTTCTAGAGCTCACAAAAGTTCCTCCCAAAATTATTGGGCATAGCAAAACAACTGTGTGCACTGCTTCTGTTCGTCATTTCTCTTTTCGTGCAAGAAATCCTGGTGCAGTAGCATATCAAGAGATTTCCCAGGTAGCTGCATAATTCCCTGCTAAAAAGTTAACCAGGTTACCTAGATGAACGTTGAAAGGCTGTAGTTAAACAGACAATATATAGTGGACACCCTGTGAGTTTCTAAGTGTGTTTACTTAGAATCAAATCTCATTGTATTCTTACTCCGAAGGGCTCGATCACACGTAAGCAAAGAACCCCAGTTCTATCGATTCTTTTCATCCCTGTTTTATACTGATACATTTTTTCTAGCAGCCGCATGGTATATATATTGGTGTTTACATTCTTTACAACTGTGTCGATTCATTTCCTTCTGTTTGAACTGTTATAGCAAACTACGTACACTACTCTTTAATTTTGCATTGATTCGTTTTCTTTACTGTTTCTTGGGGCAGTCAGCCCCCCTTGTCTTTTTTTTTTTAATACAAAAGTTATATATCGATAGAGTGGTATGAGCCTTCTTCTGTCCTCCCCTTTTCCCTTCCCCTCTTTACTCACTCATCCTCTTTTGCTTATTTGCCTTGTATATTTCTCCTTCTAGCTTCTTGGCTTGGCTTTCATTTTTCCTTTCCCATCTGAACAACGACAGAAGGAGCAAGCAGGTTTTAAAAGACTTGCAAAGGATTGTGAAGAGCAGGGCTTTTAAAAAAGGGAGAGGAGATGTTCGTGTAGCACTTCTTTCTTTACAGTTCAAAGCAGGAAATGTCCCTTTCTTGGCTCAAACCCTCTTTTACCCTCAAGGTGGGGGGGAAGGCTGTCTCCTTCTGAACAATGTTTGTGGTGGTGGCAGAGGCTGCTACTAGTGATTTGCCAATATCCCTTTAAAAATGTTAAGGGTACAAGTGGCCATGAATTGGTCACAGAGCCCCAAAACCTTCACAAAGGAAATAAATTGACAGCAACATTTACACACACTGAAATGATAAGGAATGAAGCTATATATCATTGGTACAATTTAAAAGCACCCTCCCAGCGAGGAGGAAATAAACGAATTGCTCAGGCAATTAAATCAATGTTAGCCGTGCATCATGTGAACGGAAATTTTTTGAAACAATCCAAATAACGGCCAAAGCAGTATCATTGGGGTTCTTTTGGTAGGTGTGAATGAATCCTAAGTGTGCGCATAGAATTCCAATGGAAACTTTACTTCATCAGTGAATTTAAGTATTCAATAGATTAGTTGGGGAGGATCATCCTCCTCATATAGGCATCCAGCTCTCCACCCCACCGGTGTTGATGAGGCAGAAATATAATTGCCCGGCCACCCGATCCGCCAACTGAGCAACCTTTGCATCCCAGGTCATGGTGTAACACAAAGACCAGGATGGGGTTGGGTGGGTTCCATAGCTGTTTTTGTTAGAGAGATCTCAAGAATACCCCCTTCCATTTTTTATGATAGAAGAAGCTGCCATGGGTTGGAGGTTTTATCCTGGGCTTCTCCAGACAATGAATGGGGCATAGATCAAATGGCTGTGAAATCCGTCCCTACAGCCAACCCACCAGAACATCTAATTTCAAGCCTTTCTACTGGTTACCAGTTATGGGATCATCATCTTGGTTGGCAACCTGACACTGCGTTTCTTCCAAATTAGCTGCTTGAAAAGGATTTTTGAGCAATAAGGAGGATTCTTTATTGCTAACAGCGTGGACTTGTTTTTAATTTTCTTCTTCTCCTCACTAGGTCTTCTAGAGGGAGTCAACATCACCAGCCCGGGGCTATTAATTCATGGTACAGTTGGCAAACCTGCCTTGCTCTCCGTCAGATATACCACCACCAGCAGTGACAAACCTGTCATTAAATGGCAAATGAAGCGTGACAAGGCAGTGACGGTGGTGCAGTCCATTGGCACTGGGATCATTGGGAACCTGCGCCCAGAGTACAAAGATCGGATTAAAATATTTGAAAATGGCTCCCTTCTGATCCACGAGTTGCAGCTGTCTGATGAGGGAACGTATGAGGTGGAGGTCTCCATTACTGATGACACGTTTACGGGAGAGTTGAACATTAACCTTACGGTGGACGGTAAGCTTGTTGTTAGCAAATTGGACATGGTTTTCTTTTCTTTTTGAGGGCCCTAATGCCACACTCTCAATGCTAAAAGAATTCCGAGAATGACAGTGTTTGAAAAGCTATGGGTCATCACACAAGAGGTCACATTCTAGTTGGTAGGACAAAAAGAAGGAGCCAAATGCCAGCATATTTAAACTTAAAGGTCTTAGTATCAGTAATTAAACATAAGGAGAAAACCATCTCCTAATGTTTGAAACACCCCAAAGCTAGGAAGTCACTAGATGCTCCTAGGTACTGAAGGGGTTTGTTTGGTCTGTGTGGGGAAACCAAGAGGATCTGGGTCGAATTCAGGGCTGTAGTTCCCCCAGGCCGTGTTTTAAGGGCTACAGCTAACATCTGGCTGAGGTGAAGTTTCTGAAAGTTCTGGGCCTCCCTTCTTAAGGTCTTGGTTTCTAGCTGAGACAAGATTTTCTCTAGATCGTCTCCAACCATGTTCTACTGGATCTGATTATGCTGTCCTGAACATGATTCCTCTCTACCCAGAAACAGACTTCTAAATATCTCTGCTACAGGTGCCTTCTCCAGGCACCCAATCCACCAGAAGTGCTTTGTCAGTGATGCAGTTTTTTTTTAAATTGTAGACTTACATTTCTTAAGCCTCCTGCCCCCAACATTTAGATAATGTGTATTGCTTAAATACATAGAGCATTCGGAAAAGCTGCTGTTTTGATATACACTACCTGTAATGCCTGGTTATATTTAAAGACATTTTTATATTGTGGTGGTATGTAATTGTATTGTTTGAAATGCAAAGGTTTGTTAAGTATGTGATGGAAGGGGAGTGAGGAGCGTGGGATGTGGATAAGAACAGTTTTGATTGGCTGGAGAGGAGCTGAAATAAGGAGGGGAAGTGTGTGTGAGTGACAGTGGAGTCTGGGGAGAGTTCAGGCTGGCTTCTGCATTAGATCAGTGGAAGGGGGTGACGGAGAGATCAGCAGGGAGTGAGGTTTTTAAGGAGGACTGAGACTTTTACTTTAATGAAATCTTATTCAAGCTGAGCAGTACTGAATTCAGTACCTGAGGGCTGGCTGTGTGGAGGATGTTACAAGGGGTTGAGTGAAGGGGCAATTACACACGCACAAAGGGAGTGAAAGAAGCAGAGAAAAAATAAGCGAAGAAGAAAGCAAGTTATTCCTGTGGTGGTCTTAAAGAGACCATTACCTCAATACTCAACTGAGAAGCGAGTTTTGATATCAGTATAAGAGAGATGGGCAGAAGAGTGCCCTCGATTTCCATACCAGAATACTGCAGAGAAGGTGCTACTGTCCTGGGTTCAAGAGATAATTAGACTGTGGAGAGCTCTACCTATTCCCGCTCAACATCCCAACTCAAAAGATTTTCCCAGCCCCAAATTGCCTCTGTGTATGAGATCTGAGGCTCCAGTACTTTGGCCATCTCATGTGAAGAGAAGACTCCCTGGATAAGACCCTGATGTTGGGAAAGTGTGAAGGCAAGAGGAGAAGGGGACGACAAAGGATGAGATGGTTGGGCAGTGTCATCAAAGCAACCAACATGAATTTGACCAAACTCCAGGAGGCAGAAGACAGGAGGGCCTGGCGTGCTCTGGTCCATGGGGTCACAAAGAGTCGGACATGACTAAACGACTAAACGACAACGACGATGAGATCTGTGATCAGATTTCAGGGTGTGTTTTTAGAAAGCTTAAAAGGAGCTGAGGGGGACAGAGTGAAAGAATGGGCTCAGCATAGTCGTTTCTCTGTGCGTTGGGTGGGAAAGGAATTTAACCATTTTCCTCGTGGCCAAGTGTCTTACTTCATAGAAGGCAGTCCTCTGAAGGTCTGTGAGAGGGAGCAGAATAGTTTGAAGTGCAGCATTTTGGAGCATGAACAAACGTTTATTAGGCAATATATTGCATTTCCTAAGTATCCACGTATTGGAGGGAAATCTTTTTGTACCCAAGGGTATCATATGGAAATAGAAAGGCAATTATTGTTCAAAAACATTGAGTATCCTTCTCTATTTTTCATGTCTTTTTTTTTAAACCCAGGAATTAACAAGGGACAACCTCTCTTTTTTGCTTGTGTGTTTGTTGTTTAGTTCCGATTTCCAAGCCTCATGTTGCCCTGGCCTCTTCCACTGTTCTAGAGCTCAGTGAACATTTCACTCTAAACTGCACGCATGAGAACGGCACAAAGCCCACCTACACGTGGCTGAAGGATAGCAAACCCCTCAGCAATGACTCCCGGATGATCCTCTCCCACGATCAGAAGGTGTTGACCATCACCAGAGTCCTTATGTCAGATGATGACACCTATAGTTGTTTGGTCGAGAACCCCATCAGCTATGGGCGCAGCATCCCCATAAAGCTGACTGTGTACAGTAAGTATGGCCAGTCCATCTAGGATACAGAAGAGAAAATTTTGAAACTGGAAGGGAAGATGGGCGGATTTCCTTGCTTATAAAAAAGAAAAGAGGTTGGTAGAGATGGGGGCAAAGTCCAGTGACTAGTTCTTAAAGTTAAATAGTAGATCTTATAACTACTTGGAATGGAATCAGTTCTTGGTGAAGAAGGAAGCGGAGAATTCTTTACTGAGAATTTCAGCAAAGTTCATGGGAATACTTCTGTTCTCCTCTCCCTTTGCTGCAGCTTGATGAGAGGACTGCTGCCAGGTGGCTATTTAGGGAGGAACCCCCCAGATTTGGTCTTTTACAAGAACTGATGGAAATGGCACTCCAACTTTTCTCCTCCCTTTAAATCAAAGAGTTAAACTGAAGGGCAGATACACCCCCGCGCTCAGTATCACATCCACTTTCAATACGCAATCTGCTGGGAAATGCAAGCAGGCAGATGTTGTTGCTCCTAGATCTTATTGGTGGGCTTTCCAGAGGTATCTAACTGGCTATTATATTCAGAGAGAGAGAGGGCCTGGTATAGAAGTAAGAACTAGGATAAAAAAGCTAAATAACAAAAGGCCCGAATCCTGTTGCTTAAGTTACACCTGCAGAAGGGTAATGATGTCATTTCCAAAAACAGATTTTCTATAATTAAAAATTTCCTCCTTCTGTTCCTTGGCTTGTACAACTCACAATCCATTTCCTTGCTTGAAAGCTGTGGGAGCTATGGGATGGAAGGAGAAAGTATTTGATCACAGAAAATCTCTCCCTGTTGGTAGTATCATCCAGTAGCAGAAATTTTTTGGTAATTAAGGATTTCCTCTTTTCATCCTGGTGCTCCTTCAGCATCCATGCAATGAACATATTGTGCAGGAATTGGACAAGGTTTGGGATATAAGGAGGAATATTTAATTACTGGAATGATAAATTAGCACTTATATACATCTTATGTAATCAAAGGCCCAAATCTTCTTGCATAAACTTACATGGTGGATGGCAAATGAAGTCAGCTGCAACTGTGCAACCAGAAATCTAAATTAGGACATCTTTCATTAGCAGCTGCTAATTATTCCCATTGTGTTCCCTCAATGAGGGCCAAGCTGCTGCAGATGATGTTGTTTTCCCTATGCTGAAGAAGTAAGAGAATTTTTCCCAATGAGTTTACTCTTGTTGGGAACAGGATGCTAGACATTATAAAAAGACAAGGATATTTAGTGTTTTACGTGGTTTTCTGTTTTAATTTTTGAATCTCTGAATCATAGGCTTGCAGAGCTGGAAGAGACCACAGCTTATATCAAGCCCCTGCCAAAGCAGAAGATCCACTGCTAATAATCTCTGACAAGTGCCCATCCGACCTCAGTTTAAAAACCTCAGCTAAAAGAGAGCCTACCACCTTCCAAGCAGCTCTCTCCATTGATGAGCAGCTCTTACGCTCAAGAAGTTCTTCCTAATATTTAGCTGAACTCTCTTTTCTCTTAATTTGACTCTATTACTTCAGGTCTGACCCTCTGGTGGTAGAGAAAACAAGCTCGCTCCCTTTCCCACATAGCCTTGTGAATATCTGCCCATAGCTATTGTATCTCCTATGACTTTAGGTAGTAATCATTTTCAGTAGCTGGTTTTCATCTCCTATAAAGATCCATATATTATAGGATTCCCCCCGCCCCGATTCCCATCGTTATTTCTCTGTGTGGCTACTGCGTCAAGCGACAGCTGGATTAAATAGGTGCTTGGGCTGATCCAGTGTCATGGATCTTCTTAAATCCCTCTAATTGCAGCCTAGATCCACTTTCTCCAGAGACCTGGAAAGGGAGTCTAAAACCATGAAACCTCGGGTCAGGTCCTGAAATCTGGGGCAATCCTAGTATGAACTCTATTGGCTTAATAGGGTTAACATAACCTCTAATACCTCTCTTGTCTTTTGCGTCTCTAGGAAGGAGCTCTCTGTATATAATCCTCTCCACGGGAGGGATTTTCCTTCTGGTTACCTTAGTGACTGTCTGTGCCTGTTGGAAACCATCTAAGAAGTATGAACTTTAATATCTATGTCTGTCAAGCTATGTTGGTTGAGAATTTGGCCCTGTCTGTACAGTGGTGCCCCGCATAGCGAGGTTAATCTGTTCCGGATTAACCTTTGCTATGGGGAAACATCACTAAACAGAACAGAAAAGTTACAAATGGGCCCAAAACTCCCCCTTCTGCGATGTTTCCCCATGTTCCGGCAGCCATTTTGGGTGTTCTGGTGGCCATTTTGGAACCGCCGAACAGCTGTTCCCCCATCGCAATGCGATAAAACATCAGTATGCGATCGCATTAGCGATCGCAAAATCCGCATTGCTATGCGGATTCATCGTTAAACGGTGCGCTCGTTATGCGAGGCACCACTGTATTGGGAAATCAGTTCTGAAAGTCACCTTTAGTGGCTTAGGTGGCTATTATGATCCCTTGCACGGCCATGGAAAGCCCCATCAGATTCTGTCTCAACGTGCCACTTGTAATAGACATTTTTCACATGGCTGAGAGATGCTTGGGTTCCCCTGGAATACCAGGACGGCCCGGGGGCAACTGAATCACCAAAGGCTGGCTAGGGATCCAAAGTTGGGACATCTGTTTTGACCAAAGATGATGATCAATTTCAAAGAAAGTCTTGGGGCCACTTTCTGTTAAAAGGAGGGGTAGGACAAAGCGTCTGAATCATACCTCCCCTATCAGAGGACAGGTTTATGCAGGGCTTGGCAGGCCAAGCCTCTGGCCTGAACTTCTACCTGGGGGTATCTCCCCGTGGAGCCCTTGTGGTTCATGATGTGCACCGATGTTATGAGTACAGTGGTGCCTTGCTTAACGATTTTAATTGGTTCCAAAAAATTCATCGCTAAGTGAAAACATCGCTAAGCGAAACGCAGTTTCCCATTGTAATGCATTGAAAACCAGATAATCCGTTCCAATAGGAACGAACTGCCGTCCTTAAGCGAAAATTGCCATAGGAAACATTGCTAAGTGAAACGCAGTTCCCCAATTGAAATTCGTTGAAACCTATTCAATGCGTCTCAATGGGGGAAAAAAATTCAACAACAAATTAAAAAAGAGTCAGAACAAAGTCAAATTTGGTTAACAAACGGTTTATTAAGTGCACTTTATGATTTCAAACATTTTAAACAGCAAACTTTAACTTTATAACATTTAAAAAACAGCAAACATAAGGCTGTTTAAACCATCGTTAAGCGAAACAAGGGACCCAAAAATGTAATTGTTATGCGAAGCATGGTCCTAACATCGCTAAGCGAAAATCGCCCATAGGAACCATCGTTAAACGGAGCGCAAAAACGATCCGAATAAGTCATCGCTAAGCGAATTCATTGTTAAACGAAGCACTCGTTAAGCGAGGCACCACTGTATTTTTCCTACTATCCGTAAGACATTTGTTCTGGAAGGTGTAGAAATTATTTGAATAATTTACTGTTGTTTAACTTTTAATATTGTGTTTTTAATAATGCGAGCCACCTTGGGTCCTTTTTTGGGGGAGAAAGGAGTGGTAAAAATCAGAAATGCAGATTCAACATAAGAACTTTTCAACTTGAGAACCACCTTCCAATACGGATTAAGTTCTTAAGTAGAGACCCCACTGTAATTTACTGTTGTTTAGCTTTTAATATTGTGTTTTTAATAACGCGAGCCACCTTGGGTCCTTTTTTGGGGGGAGAAAGGAGTGGCAAAAATCAATCAGTCAATCAATCAATCAATCAATCAATTAATCGATCAATCAATCAAGTAACTTTGTCTTGCACAAACTGACTTTCAAAACTGAGCAAACTCACATACCTTTGGGGGCATTTTTGTTTTAGGAAGAAACAGAAAATGGAGAAGCAAAGCTCCTCTGAATACGTGGATCAGAATGAGGATCAATTAAAACACGACGGTAAGCCACTTATCCTGATGCTAAAATCCTGGGCAAGCCTGTTTTAGGACTTAGTCTTGTGACTGCCACGGTTGAGACGCAGGCAGGAATCAGCAGAGAGGCAGGATCGGGTAGCTAGGACTCAAGTCAGGAACGCAACCAGATCTCGTACTTACCGCCATGGGTTATCAGACTTCGGGCTCATCAGAACGACTTTGCTTTTTACTAAGGCCCCAGATGGTTTGGGACCTTGATACCTAGCAGAGCGCCTCCTCCCAATGAGATCTGCCCATCTTATATGATCTTCCCATGCCAGGCGGTTGAGAACATTGATCCTGAGCGAGGCCCGGAAAGCGAGGACTAGAAACTGGGCCTTCTTAGTGGTCGCCTCCCAACTTTGGAACAACCTCTGGCCCGAAATTTGCCTGGCCCCTTCACTGGGAACTTTTAAGTGATTGTTAAAAACATGTTTTTTTTAGACAGGCCTTTCTGGACTTTTAACAACTTAATACAGTGGCGCTTTTAACCCTTGACATTTGTATTATTTATCCTCTGACCTTGCCTTTTTATTTTAGATATTATTAAGTTAAATTCTGTTGAGGTTTATTCTTAATTTTGATTTATATTACTATGTTTTATTTTAACTGTTCTTAATGATGCCAGGTTTATTCTTAATTTTGATTTATATTACCATGTTTTGTTTTAACTGTTCTTAATGATGCTTAACCATGTAAACTGCCCAGAGTAGTCTTGGTAGCCAGATGGGCAGTATCAAAATCAAATCAATAAATAAAATACTACTGCCTTGGTATCTAATAGTTAGAGCTGTTAGTAGAGTGAACCAGTAGCAGTTGCAGGTGTATTGAGTCATGGATTCAGTCTTTCGAAATATCCAAAGCATTAGTGGAGCAGTCACTTCCAGATTTCTTATTTAGGAGACCAAAAAAGCTAGTATTTATCTTGGGATAGGAAAAATGATATGAATTCTTGTGCTACCTGAGGGCTCTGCTAGATGGGGAATTTGTTGTTTGTAATGTACTGTACTTGATTCTGTGCTGCTCTTATTGCCATTTTTCTGTTTGTCCTTAAGGCACTGTTTACTCATTTTAAATTTTGCTTTGTTCTGTGGAGTAATTTTAGCATGCGGGCCTTTCCCAGTGGAAGTGCATTTCCATCGTCAGAGCCTCCTGGGTCAGAAGTTTTCAATTAGTTGCAAATACAAAATATCTCTAGAAGATAAGCTCTGGCAGGGAAGGAGAGACTTAGATGTTCTCTAAAGAGAAGCAGTTTTAAGAAAATCGGCTTCTCAAATTGCAGATTGGAGACAAACCCCCGTGAACTCCACACACCTTTACAACCAAATAGGAAAAAGCAAGGTGGAAATTTTACTCCATCTGGAAAAATCCTAACTCATAACATGGTTACATGAGGAAAAAATATAAATTGTTTTTAAATCGGGTTTATCACTGATTTAGCTTCAATCATTTTGGCATATGAGAACACCTCTGCTGGTTGCCACTCCCACCACGCATTGGGATATAGCAAAGTGTGAAGGAAACGTATGGGAAAGCTTGTGGTGGAGAGTCAGAAGCAAGAGGCGGTGAGGTGCGTAGCCTAAGTGAGGAGCAAAGAGCAGGTTTTTTTGCAATGAAGCCAAAACATGGATCCAAGGCATGGATCCTGATGGATCCACATGATTTTGACATGGGATCTGCCCGAAACCACGGTCAAATCCTACGTCCCATTTGTACCCATAGACCACACCACACAAATTATGAACCGATCAGCGCATGACCATGCACCAAACTTCCCATATTTTCCAGTGAAAAATAATACGACCCTATGAGAAGGGCTTGTAAAATAATGAGTACAGTGGAGAGAGAGGGAGAGAGGATATGGAACCATGTTCTTCACTTCACTCTGCTTTCCCAGTGAAACTAAGTCAGTGGGGAATGGAAAAATGGTGAATGCTATGAGTGGGGGGGGGGCAGAATTTAATTGGATTCATGAATGGCTAACCATGATATATGGGTGAAAACAAATACTACAAGCACAATTTAATGTATACATGTGCAGAGGAAAACGTGTAAATTAGGTGCATGTAAAATTCATGTCCCCTTCATGGATTGCTGCCTTGTTGTGGTGAAGGGGCTTGAGTAATTCAGAGAAGCTATGGCCTATGCTGTGCAGGGACTCCCAAGAAGGACAGGCCATAGTGGAGAGTTCCGACTAAATGCGATCCACCTGGAGTAGGAATTGGCAGTGTAAGGGAAGGGGAGTAAAGGAAGGGAGGTGCTGGCAAGGGGCTCAGTGCTGTAATTACTTCTCATATTATTTTCATCTCCTGAATGACAAAGTTGATTTGGGAGCGCATTTTGTCCTGCTTATCCCAGATGCCAAAATTGCTAGTTACGGCTTTGGTAGGCCCATTAACAGCTTTTCACAAGAGCAGCTGGAAGTAGCATCTCACCTTATTAGAAGTACTGTGGTTCTCCATGCCTGTTACCGGATGTGTGTATGTATGTGTGGGGAGAAGCAATAGGGTGGTGCCTTTAAATACATTCAGATTCATAATCTTACTTTGGCAAATTCATTTCTTATGTAAAAAGGAGGAGGGGTCCACTGAGGTCAAAAATAAATGCCATCTTGTCTAATTTAGAAAGGCCATTTTGTCTGCATATGTCTTTTTCCATCCGCTTATCTCCCATGCTCAGCACTGCAGCCTGTAATAAAAGCAAAAATCTGATTCTCTTTTAATTTCAATGCAGTTGAGATTGTTCCTCGAAGTGGAGAACATGAACGCAAGAATCCAGTGGCTTTGTACATCCTGAAGGACAAAGTAAGTTTCATATACTGAGCTTTGAGAGATGCTCTAATAAGCCATGCATTTATTTATTTGATGAGATCTTTCCTCTGCTCCTTTGTAACTACTCTTCAGCATTAGCCATCATCCCAGGAGAGTTTACAGGAGTCAGTAAAACAATATAACAAGCTGTGTTGCTAAAACAGTATTAAAATATTAAAACATTTTATGTTTGTACAGAAAACAGCAGTGGCAACACTGTTAAGTAAAACAAATGCATAAAGCAGATAAAAATAACGGGCAAAAGGTAAAGGTAAAGGTTCCTCTTGATAATTTGTCCAGTTGAGTCTGACTCTAGGCGGCGGTGCTCATCTCCATTTCCAACCCATAGAGCTAGCGTTTTGTCTGCAGACAACCCTCCGTGGTCACGTGGCCAGTGTGACTAGACACGGAACGCTGTTTACCTTCCCACCGAGGTGGTACCTATTTATCTACTCGCATTTTTGCATTTTGCATGCTTTCGAACCGCTAGGTTGGCAGGCGCTGGGACAAGCGACTGGGGCTCACTCCGTTGCGTGGATTCGATCTTACGACTGCTTGGTCTTCTGACCCTGCAGCACAGGCTTCTGCGGTTTAGCCCACAGCGCCACCACGTCCCTGATGCTGCCTCCTAAACCACACTTCAGATAAAGGGGAGTGAGAGGAAAAACTGGGATAATATAGGAGGGGAATGTCATAATACATTTTATTTTTTTAAAGGAGAAATAGGATGGTAGGGGAGGATTTGAAGGTTTTATAAAGTCTCTCTCTGTGTGTGCGTGTGTCTGTATCTGTGTCTGTGTCTGTGTGTCTGTCTGTGTGAAGAGTAATGAGCAGGAAAAGGAGCAGGAAAATGAAATACCCATAAATAACTAAATAGACAGTCACACAGACACACCCCAAAAATTCATTGCTTCGTATTCGTTGGGCTCTCTGTATCAAACAAATACAAAGCAACTAATTTTTGACAAATACTGTAGATGATTTTCAACAAATATAGCAATGCATTTTTGAAGACTAGCCAGAGAGAGATCTGCCAGTGTCAAACGGGATGCAAAAAGTCAGGTTTGATCTGATCTATAGAGAGCAGGCAAGAGAGTTGTAGTCACAAGCCAACAATGTTGTAACACGTACCAGAATGTCCAGTTGGGGCTGAATAGATATGGCTGGCCCCGCCACCCCACTTGGGTTTATAGATGAATGGAGCAGGCTTACAAGAAACAAATGGAGCAGCTTTGTCATGCCTATTCATGTCCCAAAGTGACATATGGTAGCTTATTTTTTGGTTCTTTGTGTGGGAGGGAGTATTATCGAGCCTGCGAGATTGGTTTGACCAGAGGGACAAACACATCTGCCATGAGCAACACTCAAAACTATCTTCACCTCTCTGGAATGCAAACAAAATGGTCCCCCATGCTAAATCAGGCTGCCTTTCCTGAAAATACAGAGTGGGTGGGGGGAAAAACATTGGTGGGAGGAATGGTGCCTCTTAACTCTGTAATGCTGTGAGATAGGATTGCCTTGCATTGCTGGCGCTGCTGGTTACATCTGCATGTGTCCACACATGGCAGAGTCATTTCTAAACAACCAATTTAAAAAAACTCTACAAGTACAGTCACCACCACGGCCACCGATGCTCTCAGCCTGACAGAGCCAAGGCATAAAATTATGCTTTCACCTGCTAGGCCTTCCTTGTTGCCATTTGGTCCCTGTGAATAGAGTCTATTCTATACAGCTACCAATTTTATCTTCAAAGATGTGTGCAGAACACTGTCTCCTCAGATTAGGGCAACAAACAAGGAAAGTCTCTTTGGGGAGAAGGCATTTCCTAAGATATTTTCACTTTAATTGTCCAAGGCAACCTCCAACCTAGTTCCTCATCAGATGTGCTGAACTGTATGTCTCACAGTCTCTCCATGCCACATAGCTGAAGGTCAGAGAAAGCTAGTTTGAGGCTTAAAGCTTGAAACCAGCACCCTGATTCTTAGAAAACAAGGATCTTGTTGTCTTCTGTTTCCAAATGATTCAGAGCCAAAAAGTTATCCCTCTTAAGTTTCATTAATATTTTTGGCAATCTGTATGCCTGTAGCTATCAAAGGGCTCATAGAGATAAAACAAATATTGCAGACACACTGGCTGCTCCCAGGGCTGCCTCCTGCAGTCCTATGTTCAGTTTCCTGGGAATAAGTTCAATTCAACAATGCAAGATGTGCTTTTGGAATTGTACCAGTGTTTGGGGGGTATTTTTTTTTACTTAAAAACCCCCACTGGCTATGCTGGCTAGAGGATTAGAAGAGCTGACATCTAAGAGGCTCAAAGAAACACTTGCTTAGAAGAGAGACCATTTACAAAGACTAATCCACATACAAAAGTGTTTGCAGTTATTTTTAAGAAGCAATACCAGGAAAATGAAATCATTTCAAAGTGACTGGCAGAAAGGAAGCACAAGGCCAGATGAAATTGCAAAAATCTGATTGCATAATGTGAAGGGAGGAGGCAGGAAGTGGCATCCTCCCCCCCAGCAACTGATAGTGCTAACTCACAACATGGGAAAGTTGGTGAGGTTATGGGGGGGGCTCACTTGCTTCTGTGATTTTGTGATGCTGATTTAAGGTGGGGGGCTAAGAAAAACTTCCCAAAGAAAAGAAAACTTTGGTTTAAAATGAAATTTTGGAGTAGAATATCTATCCCAAGAGCAAGGAACTTCACACTATAGATCAACTTGGGCATATTGATGCATTCTTCTTGCAATTTAATTTCCATGTATCCCCAGTAAATTACTGAGACCCATTCTCTGATTCCCTAAAGAGGGGAGAGGGGAACAAACCTCTTCTTACCTTGCAGTTAGAACTGGATATGGAACAACTGATTGGTTCAAAATTGGGAAAGGAGTGACTAAACAACAACAAAATCTGTGGGATCCGTATATGCAGTTTCACTTTTCCACAGTCTGAAAATATTAAAAACATTAAAAGAAAAAAAAATCCAGAAAATAATTATTTTCAAATGTATTACCAGAACTGGCCCCTAGAGAGAGCCCGAGACCTTGCAATTAATCTCTGTTGTTGAAGAATACCTGTACATAATATGGTCTCTTTTGCCCTCTAGTGGCTAGTTCTGCTAACACATGTGAAAATAATTTTTTTCTAGATTGGCTTTTTACCATGCTATGCATAGAGTTTGATATTGTCTGCAGTTTTCAGCACCCACAGGAGCTTGGAACCCCAGATATGGGAGTCCTACTATAGAAGTTTCAGTTTCTTTGAGAAAATCTTGCTCTTTAATGTATATCTTGAAAGGTGCTGCAACCTAGTGTCTCTGTTTGTGATTACTGAGGAAGAATAAACATTCTGGTGACTCTCTTTCAGCGAAACGAACAACACACTATTTATTAGTGCAAAAATCTGTTTACAGATAGCACAGGGGAGATGGTCCTTAAATTTTGTCACATACATCCCTAGAGCAGGCTTCCATGCGGTTTTGTATAGCTGAAATGGAAGAGGAAGATTTTTTAAAAAAGAAGTGGCCTTGTACAAAATTAAAGAAAGACTAAGAGTGCCACTCTATAGGTAGATCTAGAAAAGATGAGATTCGACAACACCTGAATATATATCACTTGCTGCATATATTGATGCTGCATTCCAATAGAGTATAACCCCATTGAACAGAGTAAAACTTACTTTTGAATAAACATGAATAAGATGGTACTATTAGCTTCTTATATCCTCTTTGTGTGGCTAGTGCAACTCCAGCTGTAACCTTTAAGATCATGTCCCTACCCTGGCCTTACAAAAGTATTGTGAAGAAGCTGCTTTCCAACCTTTTGGCACAACACAAGGGAAATATAAACAATTGTCTACTTTGGGATCACCAGTACCAAGGGTACAGAATCATGTCTTAGTATTGCCAGGCAGGGGCCTGGTGTTTCAGTAGAATGTTTGGGTTCTTTTAAAGTTTTTTTTTTTTTCCTTCCCATTGCTGTCCCCCACCTCCCCAATAGGGTCTCTCAGATAACTTGGCGCAAACTTTAGTTTACATCCTAGGTTAGTTAGCCAAATTTAAAGTATTACCTAGTGGTTGGAAGAAGACGTTTGGCTGGAACTGACTTAACTAGAGTGTAAACTACATTTTATCCCAACTTCTCTGATATGCCGTTTGTTATATTTCTGTGCGCCCCAATCTCCTGCCCGAAAAGAAACCCTGTGTTTTGATATAAGGCATGGGGTTTGTCTGTAAGGATACCTAGTAGCCGGCCACTGTATGTCTAACACATTTGGGGCATTTGCCAGAGAAACCCACCCTCTGAGCAGATTCCGTTTTTGAAACCTGACTTACATATCTGGACATGAGTTTTGGAAAAAAAAAATTGCACTCTGTCATGCCCAACCCAACTAAGGTTGGTGTAGAGTTAAAAGTTACCCTCTGTGTCTAAATTTTTAGTCGTCTAACAAAGAGATCGCTCATCCTTGTTTTCAGATTGCATACAAGAACCACACAACTTTTTAGTTTCTTGATTCGAAATAGGAACAACAGTTTTTTTCTTTCCATTAATCTGTAGGGATATAATTATGTCTCCACACACAACAAGGCCACATCACGATGCAGCATATTGGCCATAGGGCCCCCTACCCCATTAAGGCCCTCTAGGCTGTCAAAGGCTGTCCAGCTGCCTCCTAAATGGACCAGAAACCTGCTTTTAAGGTCAGGGAAGGGACATTGACTCTCTGCCACTTCACCTCACTTTTGGTGGGAAAAGCCATTGACTGAAAATGAAATTCTGAGCCATGCTTGTCTACGAGCATCATATGAGCTCACTGGACCTGGCTCTGTGGCAGAAGTGGGCAAAATGTTGTGGGACTGCAGCTCCCAGCATCCCCCACCATTGGCTCGCTTCACTAAGGCTGGTGGGAGTTGTAGTCCAAGAGCATCAGGAGAACCCACTTTGCTCACCTTTGCCCTTTGAGGCATGTATCAGTGCACTGTCTGGCTTTTCTTTTGCCAGAATGTGCAATGTGGCGTAGAGGAGAAATCAGTGCTAGCTCCAAAGTTTCCCTTAGTTCTGAATGCTTACTTCGCTGAAGTACCTTCAGCTCTGATTGGGGGGGGCACCTCATCCCTCAGCGGCAGGATGAGTTCCTCATTCACTTGGGTGCTCTAGATGGGGGACATACCTCTTGAGCATGGGACAGTGGCTGGGGAATTCTGGGAAGTATAGTTCCCAAAAAATAGTGTTTACCTTTCCAAGCTCTCTCTGTAAGTAATTTTCCCTGTGACTCATGAGTGACATCTTCTGGTAGGAATTCTTACAGCAGTTCACTGTGTTGGAGACAGACTGGTGGCATGGATTGTTTCCAACACCCTCCATTTCTCCATATGTAAAATGACAGTGATAGGAATAGATTTCGCAGGACGGCTGTGAGCATGGACTATGGAACACAACAGAACTGGATCCCATTATTGCCAACCGTTGGCCTTACTGCCTGTGTACTCTGGGTGTTAAGGACCAAGATATCTGGAAAGTCGAAAGCCCCCTATATCTGTTTACATTAATATATGTATTAGGAGGTACATGAGATCATATGCTTTCCCTTTTGTCCACCCGAACAGCCCTTTAAAAGCACTGGACAAGCCGCTGACTTTCTCTTGCTTCCTCCCCAAAGGATTCTCCAGAAGCTGAAGAGGAACCTTTCCCCGATTCCCAAAACGCTGCCGAGCCCTCCCCGCCGGGCTACTCAAGCTCTCCACCTCCTCCTGGAAGATCACCCGGGCTGCCCGTTCATTCTGCCCGCCGATACCACCGCTCCCCAGCCAGGTCCCCAGCCAGCTCCAGAACACACATATCTCCCACCAGGTCCCCTACCTCGCTGGGGCGCCCCCAAAACACCACGCGCATGGTGCGGACTGCTGGGGTTCATATCATCCGGGAGCAGCAGGGGGAGGGCAGCACTGTCGAAATCAATGCCTGACGGCAGCTGGCAATATGTGTATACCTGTGTGTTTGTGTACATTAGTGGGGAAGCCTCGCTGTGCCTGTGAATGTTTCCAGGGGTAGCAGTGGGTTGGTCCCGGGTGCTTTATTTGCACATGAGAATGCATGTTTCCTATTATAGGGAAGATTTCCTGGCCTTTGCTTATAGATAACAGTGAATCACACAGTGCTCCACTGGCTGGATGGACCTGCTTTACAAAGTTTGCTGTAGATTTGATGCTCCTGCTTCCATATCATTTTAAAGGCACTAACTTGCTACTTGTTGTAACACCCAAGGAGCAGCACCTTTTCTTACAAAAGCTTGTTGCTTTCGAGAAGGATGCTCAACTAATTCCCATAAAGCCTGGTATTTCTGTCCAAGCCTTTTGAGACTTTTGTATGCATCGGTCATTGATGGGAGAATACACCCAATGGTGGACGGGAACGTATCCCTGAATCACATGTCTCTAAGGAGCATATCGGTGGCCTTTAAAGTGCACCGGCTGCCTATTTCAAAAAGGGTTTTCAAGAAGGCTATGGTTTCCCAATGGCTCCACTTCTTTCGTTATTCACTTCTACAGGTATTACCAAGGTGATGGCTCCTACAGCCCTTTACAGTTGTATCCGCAAAGAGTTGATAGCTAAAAGTTCATGATGATTAAGAAAAGCAACACCGCTTCAAGCATCCTCTGAGCCACAGACTGGAAGGAGGCTGAGCAGGTTTTAGGACCTGCTTTTGTCTTTTCTCACACACTGTGTTCTTCCTCCTATGATCAATAGCAGGATGTGGGTTAAGGTGAGCAGATATGCAGTTAGACCTAGACTTTGGAAATATTCCTTTTTTTGGTCTGCGTGGCTGGCTGGGAAAGTCTGGAAGTTGTAGCCCAAAAAGTTATTCTTCCAGTCTCTGCTCAGAATTGAGAAATGCAGCAGTCTGACAAACATGGTCAACTGAACAGTTTGTGATCAGCAGCAGAATCCCTTGTTCCCCACCCTTATCTCCAGGAACATTTCCTAGCAACACTGAATAAGATGAAGGCTCAACACATTTTAGGTGTTGCTTCTGTTAGATAGTTGGGAGTAAAAATCCCCACCTGTCTACTACAAATTACCCAAAGATCTATAAGTAGACCCCAGTTCTACCTTCTGCTTATTGTTGAGCTCAACCTCCTTTGCTTTATGAAATCCTCTCAAAATATGTATGGATTGTGAAGCATTGATTGCAGAAGTCAGTTGTAGTGGAAGAGCATGTGGAGTACACAGGAGCTTCCCCCCACTTTTATTCTTTTAAGGACCAGATGATGGCAAAGAGCTTTCTATTGGAAAGCCATGAGGGCTGCCAGTCAGAGCAGACAATATTGAGCTAGTTCACTGGTTCCCAACCTTGGATTTCCTATGAGTTCTTGGACTGCAACTGCCAGGACCCCCAGCCAAGCACAGTTTGCGGTGAAGGCTTCTGGGGGTTGCAGTCCAAGAACCACCTGGGTTACTTAAGGTTAGGAAGCACTGTGCTAGATGGAGAAACAGTCTGACTTGGTATTTGGCAGACTTTTCCCTATGCTTTCCAGAAATTAAGCTTCTCCTTTTTAACAGTAGAATGTTTTCTATCATTTGATGTAGCTGACATTCCAAGTTACCGTATTTTTCGCTCCATGAGATGCACCTTTCCATAAGACGCACCAATCTTTCAGGAGAAGAAAACAGGATAATATAATCTGTTTTCTTCGCTCCATAAGACGCGCAGACTTTCCACCCCCCTGTTTTGTGGGAAAAAAGTGCATCTTATGGGGCGAAAAATACGGTATGTCATCTATGATATTACTATGATGATGATGATGTACAGTATTTTTATTTTATTGTTCTACTAGCACACAGATTTCCTCCTTTCTTCCGCATTGTTCTGTAAAGTTGGCTAGGGAATGAGACTGAATTCCCTTAGTGCATGAAGATCAGAAGTCTGGGCTCTCTAGTCTGGCTATGACACTAGTGCAGGGCCTCCCAGGACTACAAATTACATAAATCTAGCCATCATAGCCAATGGTGAGGGATGATGAGAGTTAAAGTTCAATGACATCTAGAAGGATACATGTTCCCTATCACTTTACTCGTAAACCACAATACACTGGTTCCTTTAAGATGAGTTCACATTTGTAAGTAGAAACTGCCGCTGGAAGTCCAGGAAGATCTGAGAAACATTTTTGAAACTGTGGTGACCCACATGGACCTGGAGATGTTGCTGCATATGAACAAGGTATGTTTGGCTGCATATTAATTTTTTTCAGATTCTGAAGCAGCTGCGTACATATGTCCACATGGGCTTTTTTGTTGTTGTGATGGTCAAGGCATATTTTTGCTATGAGAAACTGAAGTATTGGAATTGAGGAGATGCGAAGAGGAATGGGAATAAAACCAGAAATAGTTGCAAGAATGGAAGGACCCTTAGTTCTGTGAAAGAACATATGTGTCACCACTTTTTACAATTACAGTGGTGCCTCGCATAGCGAGGTTAATCCGTTCCGGATTAACCTTCGCTATGCGAAAACATCGCTAAACGGGAATAAAAAAGCCATAGAAACGCATTGAACTTCGTTCATTGCGTTCCTATGGCTTTAAAACTCACCGTTAAGCGATGCTTTTCCATAGCGCCGCCAATTTCACGCCCTTGATAAGCGAGGGCAGGGCGCAAAAATACGGCGCGGACCTTCCGTGGAAGGACCCTTAGTTCTGTGAAAGAACAGATGTGTCACCACTTTTTACAATTATTTCTTCAATCAGGGCTGGGAACGTTCTGTGCTTGAGATGCAACAGATGCTAATCAAAGTAGGCTAGGGATTGGCAGCTTGTGGCCTGCAGAAGCTGTCAGAGTTCAGTGCCTATCAGCTCCAGCCAGTATGGCTGATGGTCAGCAAGTATGGGAACTGTAATCCTACAGCATGTGGAAGAACTGACATAGCCAGAGGTGGGTTCGCCCTTTAAGAGGCAGTTCTTGATGAAAGTAAAAGGTAAAGGTTCCCCTTGACATTTAGTCCAACTCTAGGGCGCAGTGCTCATCCCCGTTTTCAAGCCATAGAGCCAGCATTTGTCCAAAGACAGTTTCCATGGTCACGTGGCCAGCATGACTAGACACGGAACACGGTTACCTTCCCACTGTGGTGGTACCTATATATCTACTTGCATTTTTACATGCTTTCGAACTGCTAGGTTGGCAGGAGCTGGGACAAGTGACGGGAGCTCACTCTGTCGTGTGGATTTGATCTTACAATTGCTGGTCTTCTGACCTCACATCGCAGAGGCTTCTGCGGTTTTATATCGGTCTAGAAATGGCAAGCGATCTTATGACTGCTGGTTTTCTGACCTTACATCGCAGAGGCTTCTGCGGTTTTAGATCAGTCTAGAAATGGCAATTTTCTGTTGGCAATCATTTCATGGGTCCCTGTGCTCCCTGTGGTGCTAGCAAGTCAGTGGAGGAATCAAAGATATGTTTGGTGGTGCAGACGTGCAGTAGCTGAAGACACAAACCACAGAACCAGGGTTATCCCCCCACCCCTGTGACCACATCTCCATCCATCCAGGAAATTCTAAGGTGCAGACATTAGCTTGAATAAAATACCAAGCTGGTTTGTGTTTGCATTATTTATCAGACAACATTAAGTTATAAATTGCATTCAACATTAGTGAAGAAGGGGCCTGTGGGATCTATCCTACATAGAAAAATATGCCTTCCATCATGTGGTCAGAAGGGCTGGACCAGATGTGGAACTTTTTCCAAGCAAGCTTTAAGATGAAAAGTAACTATGAATTGGACAATATGAACAGCACAGGGAATGGTAATGCTTACGTCTTTTGCCATTATCTATTTTCTCCCTTTCAAACTCACCCAGCTTAGGGCCAAAACACATATCCACGGCAATTTGTCTTTTCCGTTTTTACAGTGTTTCTTCTCCGCAACATGATCTGATCTGATCTGTCTGTCTGTCTATCTCCCTCCTTTCTCTCCATAGGGGACCCAAGGTAGCTCACAACAACAAAGACTATAAAACAATCAACCGTGTTAAACACTATAATCACTATATAAATATCAATTAGACAAACATCAAGATTAAAAACAAGATTTTTAAAAAAATAAAACAATTTTTAAAATCTGTAAATTAATAACGCATTGCTGAGTGAATTGATCATGAAGGGGTTTGGGAGATGGTATATTCAACTGCACAGTCGTACATGATGTCGTGACAGCGTGCCGCAGCATATCAGGGCAGGGTTCATGCAGATCTATCTGCTGGAAGGTAAGTCTAACAATGGTGAGATGCTGGTATGATTTTCTGTAGCCATCAGTTAGAAACTGTACACCTCTGAGTACCAGTTCCTTTGGAGCAACAGTGGAAGTGAATATTGTTCACATACCCTGCTTTGTTATAATGAGTTTGGAATTAGGTATGCAAAGGAGGTCGTTATTTACAGAGATGGTCTGGATGACATACAATCAATTTTTAACATGTTTTCATAGTTATGACTTTTTTGCCACTTGAGGGAGCACTCCTTCTAGAAAGAGATTTCTCTGAATATGTGCTTTGGCCCTCCGTGGATTTTGAGCCTGGGACAAAAATATGCTATCATACTTTAGGTGCAGTTCAGGGCTATGGAGCAGTGGCCCTTCACATGGATGAGTACCCCCATCAGTGCTCAACATTAACCAGAGTTGTAGGGGCTTATGAGAACTGGAATATAATAACATCTGGAAGACGATAAGAGTTTTTCTAATTGGAGTTTTGCAATTGAAAGTACAGGTAAATTGTGTCAGAATGAATCAAATCATGAGTTGTTTCCTCCTAGAGATGTGCTATTGCTATCAATCCAAAGATATTACAACATTATTCTCTTCTTTGTGAATGGACTTTTCTGTGGAAAGTAAAAAAGAAAAGGGAAGCAATGGAAATACACTGAAGTATATAAATGGAAGTAGATGTTTTTTGACACCTCATGTGACCTTGAGTCGGTCCCCTTGTCATGGTCGGATCACCACCTAATAAAATGCTTCCTCAAGATGGCCCTCCCCCCTCGCAGGGAGCAGGGACCTATTGTCATGGTCCGCCCTCGAAGGCTACTGGATCCGACTGGATTCCAGGATGCCATGAGAGGGGTTACGGCTGACCTGGCTGGCGCTCCTGTCGAGGCCCTGGTTGACGGCTGGCTCACCGCCGTGGCTAGTGCCGTTGACATGATCGCACCTAAACGCCCTCTCCACCGCAGAGATCGCCCGGCGCCCTGGTTTAACCAGGATCTTCGGGTGTCGAAGCGGGTCAGGAGACGGCTGGAGCGCAAATGGAGAAAGGACCCGACGGTTTTCAATCGTATAGCTGTTAAGGTCGCAACTAACCTTTACCAGTCCAAGGTAAAGGCTGCCAGTAGAACTTACCTCGCTAACCGGATAAGTGAGGCATCTAACCAGCAG